CATGACCAAATAGCTTAATGAACAGAAACCAAAGATAATTATTGTATTTGGGAGTCTTAATCAGTTCGACCAAATCTCCTTGTTCAGTCACGTGGACACGCCATATTTTCCACCATTACAAACAGGATCTTTGATAATTATACCGGCTACAGACTGGAAACCCAGCAGGCTCGTATATAAGGACTGCAGAGGAAAGTGGGTTTGCCATCAGACAACATGAGAGCTCTTGTACTGCTTGTGTGCCTGTCGGTGGGCTGCCTTGCTCAGAGACCCCAACCTTGCAGTAAGTACACACACTTAAAGAGCTCAGTACTAGTAGCTTCCTTTGAAATTATGCTTGCTGTCTCAGCTGTTTACGTCATCAACATGCCTTATTTTATTATCTTGTTACCAACTTCGCATATCTGTGCTGTTATTAATATGACTGATCTGATAAGTGCACTTTTTCCTGTTGACAGCATCCCCACCTCTCATGTCTGGAGCCCTTTCTGTGGTACGTCCTGATTGTTATGCATTCACGATCTTGTTCAAATCAACTCGACTTTGTTCTCCTACTATTTTCAGTAAAACGTTTTCTCTCCATCCTAAAGTCCACTCAAAGTGAGAATCTTGCAGCGTTTGCGAAGTACACCTATGATGGCCTGGGAAGGCGGATCCGCCTCAGCGACTTTGGATCTTATGACAACAGAACCTTCCATTTGGACGTGCTTCTGCTTTACAACCAGGTGAGGACAAAAGAGAGGTGATATATACACCAGATTCCAATAGGTGCTGTTTATAATGCCATGCTGTCCTACAGGGGGTGATGTACAAGATAAACAACAGAGATCAAACATGCCTGAAGAGGCGTCTGAATACAGACTTCATCCCGCTGGCCATTCCGAAGGATGCTTCCCTTGTGGGTCAGGTTGTGCTGGGCAGCTCTTCAGTACAAGGAGACGGAATCCTGGTCAACACCTGGACTGGGGTGCTGCAGACGAAGAAGGGAATAGGTACACTTGCTAAAGTATTCATACTTTTCATATTTTCTTAGGTTCCCACCAAACACCGCAATATATTTTATTTGGGATGTTATGAGACAAAAAATATATAAATCATATAGCAAAACTGTGAAGAGGAAGGAAACTGATGCATCTTTTTACAAATAAAAATCTAAAAACGTGTGTTAAGCATTGTACTGATGCCCCTAAATAAAATCCAATGCAGCTATTTGCCTTTAGAGGTCAACTATTTAAGTATAAACCCAGCTTCTCCATGAAGACCTCAGAGGTTTAGTTCACAAACAGCATCATGAAGACCAAGGAACACAGCAGACTGGTCGTAGATAAAGTTGCTGAGAAGTTTAAAGTAGGTTTAGGTTCTCAAACAATATCCTAAACTAAGAACATCTCACAGAACTCTGCTCAGTCTATCATTTGAAAATGGATATAGTATTGTACAACTGAAAACCTTCAGAGACATGGCTGTCAAACTAATCTGACAGGGGAAGAGCAATAAAAAAGAAGTGTCTGAATGCCCGATGGTAACTGTGGGGGAGCTGCTCAGACAAAGCTTAGAAGGGAGGATTACAAGGACAAACTTTAGTTCTGCATTCCACCAGTATTTTTTGGAACACCTTAAAAGCAAAATCCCCACAGGAACATATGGTGGTAGCAGCATCATTCTGTGGGGATGGTTTTGCTCAGCAGGGACCGTAAAGATAATCAGAGTTGATGGGAAGTTGGATGTAGCTAAATACAGAACAATCCTGGAAGAAAACTGAGGTTGCAAAAGTCCTGAGACTTTTTCAAGGTTCTTTGGATACAAAATCCAGCAGGACAACATCCCTAACCATACCGCCAAAGCTACAATGGAAAGGATTAGATAAAAATACATCTCTGTGTTAGTATTGCCCAGTCAAAATCCAGACCTAAATCTTGGTGAGAATTTGTGGCAAGACTTGAACACTGCTCTTCACAGACACTGTCCATCCAATCTGAGTGAGATTGAGCTATTTTGCAAAAAAGAATGGGCAAAACTTTCAGTATCTGGGAGTGCAAAGCTGGCTTGATAAATCCCAAAGACCTCCAGGTGGCTTTGCAAGGTAATGACTCAGAGAGTTGAATACAAATAAAATCATCATTTTTCAGATTTGTATTTGTCAAATTATTTAAGTATTTTTCTTCCATGTCACAATTATGCACTATTTGATGATGATAATTTACCTTTTCAAAAGAAAAGATAAATGGTTCCAGGTTGTAGCAGAAATGTTCATTTCCACCTGTAGTCCCTGGACAGGCTGATGTTATCAGTATAATGTAACAGAGATTATGAATCGATGATTAAACTAGTGTATCAAAATAATTACATTTCTTTCTGTACATATCCAATAAATCATGATCCGCATCTCACTACAGTTTCACTCTCAGACATTCATCACTAATGGGAGCAAATTTGCTTATAAAGTAGCCATTTTTTGCCAGATGTGCAAACATTTTAAAACTAGTACATGTTATAAACTCATTTGTCAACTAAAGAGAAAGCAGTCTTATTAAAAGAGGACCTACATTTTAGGATGCAGCACTCACCTCTAGATGTCGCCCTTGTGACTCAGGTCGTTTTATCTGAGCTCAGTGCCACATGTCATCGTAGAGGCGGAGCAGCAACACCAGGAAGGATTTTAAGAAGTGGGCAAATGTTTGCAAAAATAATAACATTTTCTATATTCGCATCTGTCTATCACATTCTGTATAATCCCAGTGAAATTACATAGAGGCTTCAAATGGACCAATCAGATGCTGACCTTGAGGTATTTCGCAAAGAAGAAGGAGCTAGAATTTCAATCTCCAGATGTGTAAAGCTGGTAGAGACCTACCTCTACAGACCTGCTGCTGTATACGCCGTGGAATGTCACACTTTTACCAATTTTCTATTGTAAAACCATTTGGAAACCATGTATGATTTTTCTTCTACTCCACAATGATGCACCACTTTATATTGGTACATATCATTAAATCCAAATGACAGACATTGAAGTTTTCTGTTGTAATCAAACAAACTGTAAAAATAAGGGTATGAATACATTTGCAAGGCAATGACACAAATGTACAGAGTGGTATATGGCTTGTTGACTCACATGTCAGGTTGGTAAGGGACTCAGCAACTATGTGATTGATCTGTGATTTGTTCTTTGCAGCAAAGTATGTGAGCACCGTTACAGAGTTTGGATGCATTCCTGTCAGCACCCTGTTTAGCACAGACAGAAAAGGATGGGTGGTGGTCAGGTCAGTGCTAACACCTTAATAATTCCAATGCTATCAGATATGTCAGCTCCACGGAGCAGATAATACTTACCTGAACTAAATGGGATCCTAATTAATACAATCTGTGTGGTTCCCTCTTATTATGTAACTGCAGTCCTGGAATCTAAGGTTGCTTTTTTTTTTTGCTTAAAGAAAAAAACATTTTTTTGTGCCTCTATAAAGGTGTGCATGGTAAATACATTTAGTTGATATGTTTATTCTGAAGCAATTTTAGAGCTGGGTATCTCTTAATTAAAGCTGCATTCTATTTTGACTTGAAAGCAAAACTTTCCAAATTCCTTATTGGAAAGAAAACTAGAGATTTCTGGTTGGGAAAGATGGAGGTTTCTCGCCAACCTGGACTTTAAAACCCAACATGTTGTGCTGTGTGTATAAAATAGCGGCTCCAGTTATGAGCTTTTTATTTGCTTTTCTGATGGTTTGTATCTAATTAAATCAATCACACACATAGTATTGTAAATAACATCTGTCACTGAAAGTGGTGTTGCAGTGTTTGAATGCATAAAATGCTCAGAAAAACAAGTTTTCAGTTTAGCCTGGTCAATGAGCACAACACTTAGCAAATCCCATTATATCAAAACCAACTTAACACATCTTATACAAATGCGTCAGCCATGTTGGATTCTCAGGTTAGTGTTGGTGGAAAATCTTTTGAGTTTCACAACTGAAATTTCAATTGTTATTCTTTTTTTTATTTTTAACTCAAACCCAGATGAAATTTTGACATTTCAATACAAATGCTGCCTACGTGAAGTTGGATGTTTTAGGTTAGCTGTAACATAATTCACAGACTTAAATTCTAACTTCCAAAGTAAATAGTACACCACATTTCACCTAGAACATACACAAAGACCCATCCAACCAGTCCTGAACACACACACAGAACTCTATTTTCTGTTCTGATTCAGTGATAACAGATTGAAGAATTAGCATTATCTGATTGTTTTCATTTGTTTTGTTTTATTTGTGTTTTTTAGCTTCTTCAACAACATCATCGGACTGGCAGACCCCCAAGATCTCACCCCGCCACCGTTCTGCCGCACTGCCCTGCCAGAGGAAGAGGACCGAGAGACCCCCACACTGTTTTCCTAGCTTCTTTTAAAACAAACTCTTTCTAGAAACACACCGCAACATGCTTATGACTATTCTACTGTATGTAACTTCAGCACCTTTAAACCCACTTAAACTGAATAAAATCAATGTTGTGAATTCATAATGAATCTAATTGCTTAGTACTTAGTGTAAACCATGGCTTGGTTCATTAGAAACAAGAAAAAAAATCAAGTAAAAAGAGGCTCTGTGTAATTTCACTGAAATTATTTGAAGCAACACAAGTAACGTGTTCGTCTCGTCGTCTTCCGCTTTATCTGGAACCGGGTCGCGGGGGCAGCAGACTCAGCAGAGACACCCAGACGTGCCTCTCCCCAGACACCTCCTCCAGCTCCTCCGGGGGGAGCCCAAGGCATTCCCAGGCCAGCCGAGAGACATAGTCACTCCAGCGTGTCCTGGGCCGTCCCCTGGGCCTCGTCCCGGTGGGACGTGCCTGGAACACCTCCCGAGGAAGGCGTCCAGGAGGCATCCGGTATAAATGCCCGAGCCACCTCAACTGGCTCCTCACGATGTGGAGGAGCAGCGGCTCTACTCCGTGCTCCTCCTGGATGCCCGAGCTCCTCACCCTATCTCCTCACCCTATCATGAGGAGTGGTGGCTTAGTGGTTAGAGCAGGAGGTTTGTGTTCCTGACACAAGGGGCTGGGTTCATATCCCACAGATTGCCACTCTGGGTCCCTGAGCAAGACCCTGAGTCCTAGAATGCGCCGCACAATGGCAGCCCACTGCTCCCCTACAAGGGATGGGTTAAATGCAGAGGACAAATTTTGTGGTAATGTACATGTGCAATGACCAATAAATGATTATTATTTCTAAGGGAGTGCCCGGCCACCCTACGGAGGAAGCTCATTTCAGCCGCTTGTATCCGGGATCTCATTCTTTCGGTCATGACCCAAAGTTCATGGCCATAGGTGAGGGTAGGAACCTATATTGTGTTGATCCAGATTATTTTTCCTCCTATGATTTTGATGTAGGCAGCAGTGTTCTTGTAAATCTCTAAAGAATTAATAAATACAAACCCTACTGCTGTGCTGTACTCCGTGGCAACACACAATCAAGACCTTGGGTTAGGAGATGTTTTAATGGGAGTTTATTCAAATCAGTAGGACAGATTGTCCCAGTCAGCAGATAATAACAGCGGATGTTTATTTCCAGCTGTTTGTGATTGTGTTTTGGAAGGAGGGGGCAGGTTGGCCATATAACATTTCTCAGGGTATGTCATGTTGTCAAAAGGATGGGAAAAAATTTGTAATGTATTGGTAAAAATCTGTAAAAATCACCCAATTTTTTGTGGCGGTGCATCCCTGCTTCACAATACACTCACAAACCTTAATGTATATGATTAGGATTTGATTTGATGCACTAATATTAAGTAATGCATAATGGTGAAGTAGAAGGAGTTAAATTTTTTTAATGTGTAAAAGTCTGGAGAAGTCCGGCATTTCGCTGCATATGCAGCAGGTCTTATGCTCTACCAGCTTTACACATCTGGAGACGAGAATTCTTGCCTCTTCTTTGCAAAATACCTCAAGGTCAGTGTCAGATTGGTCCCAAGTCTTTTCCCGCTTCTAACAGGATCTCTTCCGGGAATGCCCTGAATCTAGCTCCATCTTCCTATCGTTGGCCCTGCTTAAGAAACAAACACAGCATGATGCTGCCACCACCATATGTCTCACTGGAGATGTTGTGTTCAGGTTGATGTGAAGTGTTACTTGTCCTACACACATAACATTTTGGCCAACAAGTTGTTAAAAGAAGTTGTTAGCCTTCTCTGTTTGCTGTTTCCCCTGCATGGCTTATGGCAAAAAGACTTGACCTTCAACAATGGTTTTCCTGTTGCCACATAAAGGTCAGTGCACCAGATTGTGGATCTCAGCAACTTCTTACTACTGTGGGCCTCGTTGCTGCTCCTCTGACTGATGTTCTGTTTTTCCAGCTTGTCTGTTTCCACGTCTTGGTAGGTTTGCAGTTGTACTTTTTCCTCTTCATATTGATGGATTGAACTTTGCTCTGTGAGATCTTTAAAGGTTGGATTATTGTTTTATAACCTAACCCTGCTTTAGACTTCTCCACAACTTTATCCCTCTGACCTGTCAGGTCCTTGGTCTGTATGATGTTTGTTTATCAATGTTCTCTGATTAACCTCTCAGGCCTTCAAGAACAGTTCAATTCATAGTGAGATAAATTAAACAGAAGGAGACTCTCTAATCAGGAAACCTCAGAAGGCAAATGGTTGCAGAGGTTCACGCCTGGTTAGAAGAGAATCATCCTGAAGATCTCAGGTTGCAAGAAGTTGACAACCTGTATGATGAAGTATCACAGCCTAGTTTTGAGAAAACCCTCGGGCAAAACTCCTGCCAGCTCACTTTGATACATTTTTTAGGAGTTCCTCAACTACCACAGGAGACAATGGTCCACTCTCAGCCTTTCGGATGTTTTACATGCACATGGTTGAGATTGTGCTCAGTCTTCGAGCATCAAGAAAGGGACAGTGGATGAAACATCTTGCAGCAATCAGCCATCATTTCCTGGTGCATTGCCTATGACAAACTAAACTATGCCAGAAACCTACCATACTACTACGCTCAAATGTCTTGTCAGGTATGCTGATGTTAGACTGGATGAGAGGACCCCCAGCGCCACTGGCTGTCCTGGAACTCATGGCCTGCAAGTGTGTACTGACCTTCAAGCTTCCTGACTGTTGCTGCCTTGCAAACAGACTGAAGTTCACAGAAATGTGCAAGCTACAAACCTGCACCAATCAGACCGAGGAGGAGGATGTAGAAGATGACGTGGAACTCACCAACTATGATGATAAGGATAATGAAGAGGAGGAACAAACAGACTTTAAAGACTTGAGAATAGATTAGTATAAAATATGTTTTAAGGGTTCGAGTTATAAGTTTACTACAGTATAAGTTTGTTAGAATAGATTATTGCTGTATTGTAGAATTCATGATATTCTGTTCAATTAAAATGTCAGGTTTCATTCTTTTGAATCATGGAAGTTGTCATTGAGTTGATAACTATGAATAAGCTAGCTACTACTTGGGAAGGGTTGTCACGTTGAAATGACATGTCGGTTGGTAGACTTTTTTTAAAACTGGGCTACAATTTATTGCTCTGGGTAGAACTAATTCTGGCCAAAACCTTTAACTTGTAGTACAATCACCTCCTACAAACAGACATTCTGGGTATATTATACATTTCCTGAATCACCAGAGTTCTGTGAGTATTGCAGTTGTTGACCCTTGTGTCCCGGATGTCCCTGGATACCATAGGGCTACAAGAAAGTACTAATTAGCTTAGGTGAAAATTGTGGGAAAATTTGTATTATTTGTGGTTTAAAGAGCTCTAGTGACCTCTGTGTTGGTCAGAGAGACCCGAAACTTTTAATGAAAACTAAGAGGTTTGATACCAAACACATTTTTTAAAACAATAGACCAATGGACGGGAGTCGAACCCAGGACGTTCATGCTGTAAACCAACAGTGGTACCAACTGTACCACCGTGCAGCCTACTTTAGTAAGACGTTCAGTGGAAAAATGTGAAGTCTTTTAAAAATATCACGAATCTTATGCATATTAAATCATGTAATTCTCTGTACCACAAGTAAAGATTGCATGAAAACATGTACCCCTCGAGCTTTTAGAGATAAGTTATTTCAGCTGTTCAATCCTTAGATCCTAGTTTTAAAGGAGCTCCAAAATTTCTCATTTTATTTCATAAGATTAAGGAATCTGCCACGAGATGACAGAGGTTCAGCTCTCTGACAGGATACAGCTGGCTGACAAAGAGGAACAGGAGAAATTCTCTGTGCTGTCTGTGCATGCCTGACCAAAGTAACAAAGTGTCAGAAACAGGCATTTTTTCCTAAAATGACTCCTAAACATGTATTATTTTCCTAAACTCTCCAGCAGTTGTACATTTTTAGTTAGTTTTAACCTGTTCTAATATTGTAGATTCACTGATGAGCTATTTTCCATAAATCATATGTGAAACCATGTCTATCCAAATGATTTCTGAGACAAAGTCATTATACATCACCTGTCCAAGTGACGTTTGAGCTTAGCTATAAGGGGAAGAACAAAACTAGAGGAACTGCTGCTTGATTGTTCTCCCTTTTTAAGGTCAAAATGTTGCTTTTTTTAATCTGTCTCTCAGCTGTGGATGAGGTGAAATGACATGCATGTCCATATCGCAACACTGACCATTTCTCAGCTGATCTACCTGAACTCAAACACACTGAGACATTGTTGATCAGACTTGTCAGAGCTGCTGCTTAAAGCCACAGAGCAATAAAAAATAAAAGGAAACAGGCATCAGTCGACGCTGACTAGGACGTCCGCAGCCTGGTTTAAAAGGAAGTGAGCTCTCCAATTGTTTGTCACTGCAGAGAGAAGTCAGCTTGACAACATGAGAGCTCTCCTGCTTGTGTGCCTGTCAGCGGGCTGCCTGGCTCAGAGACCCAAACCATGCTGTGAGTACTTGCACTATGAAACATTTGGGTAATGCTCTGGATTTATCATCTGTTTAGATGAAAATAAGTCTTTAATCTCGACAGCATCCCCACCACTGATGACTGGTTCCCTTTCTGTGGTGAGTTCCAACATTTTAATAACTGATTATACTGTAGTTTGTGATTATGGCAACTATTAATGGTGCATTTATTTCCAGTCCACCCAAAATGAGAAGTTGGGAGCCTTTGCCAAGTACACTTATGACGCCCTGGGTCAGCGCATCCGTCTCAGAGAGTTTGGATCCTATGATAATAAAACGTTCCACCTGGATGTGCTTCTCCTGTACAGAAAGGTAACAGCAACAGAGAAGGATGGTTGAACGATGTTTTAACAAGGTATTTTGCTTGATATTATAATCCTGCCCTGTCCTGTAAGGGTGTTATGTACAAGATCAGCTACAGAAACCACACATGCTACAAGAAGCGTCTGAACAGAGATTTCCACCCGCTGGCTATTCCAAAGGATGCTTCCCTGGTGGGTCAGGTGGTGCTGGGCAGCTCCTCTGGTCCTGGACAGGGAGTCCTGGTCAACACATGGACTGGGCAGCTGCAGATGAGAAACAAAACAGGTACAACAGGAGGAAATAAGGCAGAAAAATTACAAAATCATGTGGCTGGAGGAAGCACGTGACTTTCCTTAAATAACCACTGTAGTCATATTTCCAGTTTGTCTGCTTGTTCTGCATCATCTACACTTTGTCCTGATTGTGTTTACACAGCAAGGTACATGAGCACTGTGACTGAGTTCGGCTGTGTTCCTGTCACCACGTTGTTCCATTCCACCAGAGCAGGATGGATGGTCACCAGGTCAGTACCTTTACCTGCGGTCACCTTAAGATGATGAATTAGTGCCATACGGGCCAAAATCGTCACTTTAAAAGTACTCACAGTCCACAAAATGTGATTTGTTTTTATTAAATACACAGATTATCCTATTCTGAAAGTTTTCATTTTTATCTGCTTAACGATAAACTATGCAAACATTATTTAAATGAAACAAAGTATTTTTTAGATAAGGAATTTCTAAATCATCCAAAACATAACAAGGGTCTCAAATGTTTGTTTTATTTAAAAAACACGTACAGTGTCCCATATTTTGGGGGGTCAATTATTTTGGATTTTCTTGATCTAGTATATGTTTTGTATATTTTTAG